TAATAGCGGATCCGATGGCAAACCTGTGTCAGAATATACTGTCTTTGAGCGGAATCTACTTTTATAAGACTGGCGTTAATGTAGTTGTTGTCACTTCTTCTCAATATAATACGACTCCAATCGTCTGAAGAGGAAAACAATAATTAGTTATCAAATGAAAAGAGTAGTCATTCTTCGGGTGTCATTACATGGCGTCACATCTTTGTATCGATTGAATGGCTTATTCTCCGACTTTCGGCTCTCTTTGTTCGTCAGATTGTCGTCCGATGACTGGTATCTGATTTTCTGCGGAGAAAAAGAGTGGACACAAGAATATGAGCGACAAAAACAAGTGGATGAGAGGCAGTGATCGCCGGATTAGACAAACACTGGAGATGTGCGCCGACGACAGACACGTCGACACACATTCGCGTGGATGTGATGGCAATGGTATGAGTGGTAAGGTGTGAGACAATGACAGACCTGATAGATGTGTTGCCATTTGTTGTGTTTGTCGTAGTCATCAAACTCTGCCTCCATTTTCAACGACGACCACAACAACAACACAACACTTATAGTGATCTCACATTCACTTCACACACAAACTGAGCGCACATTTATGGCGATCACACCAACAGTTACTCAAGCGATGGCTAATCAACGAGTTTGGGACCAATTGGTGGTGACTTTTGTTTGGGACAGTGCTATGAGTTGGTGGAGAAGACGGTGTGTTTTATATGACATTTGCATTCATTAGTGCTATTAGTGGTGGCAATGGGTATACAATGTGTGGAGACATGTATTAAATCATACAATAAATAGTGTTTTACTTGAATGGAGAGCACAGAGAGTGAGAGAGAGAGGAGAGAGTCGATGAGAGTCTATGGGAGAGGGAGAGAGAGACATAGAGAGTAGTGTTAGAGAGAAAGCCAACACTCAATACTGACTGGCAGTGTGTGTACAGAGTTGTAGTGAAAGTGCATTCAATTCAATGCCTTTTCTCCCATTCAATGTATAGGCGTTTTGTACGCAAAACTCACAACTCAT